TTTTTTTTTTTTTTTTTGCCTCTATGCTCCGGCTCTGGCTACGAAGCTCATTCCTTTACTAGCATTACTGCCTACTTCATTGTAATTTTGGTGAATACTTAAAACCAGCTGAGTCACAGAGCCTTGTGGGCAGAACAGCTACTGGATTCTTTACCTGATCTTAGACAAAAGGCTGAGAAGCAAGCTATTGGATTCTTCAATTGCCATTGGTAGGCAGCTGTTTTTAAGTTACCTGTACCACAGCTTGTGAGACATTATAATAAGCCCACTTTTTACATACATGGTAATATTTATTCTACCAGTCCTGTTGATATAGAGAATCTTAAATATTGCAGTTGTATATTTTATTCACCCGACTATGGAGGGAGATGTGCTGGCTAACAATAATGCTCATGAAGACATTCTTTCTAGCGCCATTATTCTCTATGTATTCAAATTTCCATGAACACTATTCTTTTTATTATTATTCATTCTCCTGGAGTTTGCTTCAATTTTTAGGCATAAAACCCATAAACAATGGAGTCATCATCCAGCTTTCTGATTGGGGAAAGACCAATCATCTCGATTGAGATCTGGTTCTTGCTTTTCTCTCTCCTGATGTGTAAAATCCCTGTGAAAACCATGTAAAAAGTAACTTCAGTTCATCTGACCTCAGAATGAAGCCACAGAAAAAAATATTTCATTTTGTAACATTAAAACTCTCTTTAATTGTTAGTATTCTAGGCATCCTTACGTCTGTGGGACTGGAAATAACTCCACCCACCTAGCCAAGTGCACCTTCCAAGTCACGTAGTGTGCTGGAAGAAAAAGAGAAAGTTCCTAGGAGTGCAAGAAGATGACATTGATTGCTTTTGTAGCCAGGGGCAAATGCTATTGAAATGCATATATTCTCCAGTCTGGAGAAGTTCTCTATTAGGGTGAATGGATTGGACAGGAACTAGTATTCTGTCTCTTTAAGCACGCTATAGCCCTGTGGGAGGTGCTCTTGTCACTCAAGACTCACTAGCCAATCATGCTCTCCAGGTGGCCTGCCAGTCAGAAGCAGTGCAGGTCTCTTCCGGGCACCGCCTTCAGTCTTGGCTTTGAAGAGGAGCTGGAGCCAGTGGATTCCTGTTCTCGGGTGCAGCTGCTGTTGTAGAAAGAAGATGAGCTGAGAACTTTGGCAAAATGGAGAAGCACAACATGGTGAGTGAGGGAACGCTGTCTCCTGATGGGGAGGAGCAGAGGGCGAGGTGCGGAAAACACTATGGTGTTACCTCCATGGGTCTGGGTGGGAACCTGCCGCCATATTCCCTGTATTGTGAAGTCCCTCATGGTCCTTGCTAACTCATGGGCATAGGGGCAGGCCTCTAAATAACTTTGCTCTGTGGCTTCATCTCCTTAGAGTATTGGGAGCAGAAAGCTCCCAAACTCCTTCCTAGTCAACTTCAACAGGGTTCATGCATTTATGGATACAAGTTGCCAAACTCAGAGAAGCCTTGTTTCTCCAGTATCTTTTCGATATCGAGCACTTTGCATTTAAGGTTTAAATATATTCTGAATTTATATTTAAATTTGTGGAGGTTATCAAAGGCATCTCACGTGCTGTGTAGCTTTCCACTACTGTACCATAGTGTTGAAGAGTAGAATTGGTGATACAATAGATTGACCAATGCTTAAAAAACAATTAAGTCAGCTGGGCGATGGTGCCGCACACCTTTAATCCCAGCACTCGGGAGGCAGAGGCAGGCAGATCTCTGTGAGTTTGAGGCCAGCCTGGTCTACAGAGCTAGTTCCAGGACAGTCTCCAAAGCCACAGAGAAACCCTGTCTCGAAAAACCAGAAAAAAAAAAAGAAACAATTAAGTCTCACAAAGTAGAATTTAGCAGAGGGAGAACTGCATCTAAAACACCCAGACTTTAAGTATATGCTAATTAGGCCTGGAAGAAATTAGAATGCCTGGGCATACATTGTTCACCAGGACTGTCCAGATATTTGACTCCAAACCATTTCAAAGAAGCTGTCACCGATTTAAAGGTGGTGGTGGTGCACACCTTTAATTCCAGCACTCTGGAGGCAGAGCCAGTTGGATTTATTTGAGTTCAAGGCCAGCCTGATCTACAACAGTTCCAGGACAGGCTCCTAAGCTACTGAGAAACCCCCAGTGCAGGGATTAAAGGCGTGCACCACCACTGTCCGGCAAAGACGCTATTTTTCTTCAGAAGTGTACTAGGCATGGCACGAATCTTCTACAACACCTCCCCACCCTATATGTTTTATCTTTTACTTGTCCAGTCCAGTCTTTCTCCTCCCTTGTGATCTTCATCTTAGAACCCTGTCAGTGAAGAATGACCTGCTGTACCAGGTCACTGGCGTACTTAAGAGAATATTCTGAGAATATTTTTGCCTAAATATTTAGACTGGCAAGTTGCCTGTTTCTATTTCAATTGTTCAGAGTATAATCTGGACCATTATCCTAATGGATACTTATGGATAACAGCATATATTGAATGCACAATCTATCTAACCTAGCTCCCCTTGAGCATTGGACAGAGATCAATGCATAACATCATTAAAGAAACTTCTCTTTATTAATCTTCTAAGTGTGTGATGTGATTTCTCAGTGGGAAGGCATATTAATTCTAGAAGAGCTGCATTTCCATCCGGATAGAAATATTGTTTCTGAGACAATTTCTGTCATGTTGACTCAGGTGGCCTTGGTCCCTGTCTGTTGCTTTCCTGGGCAACCTTGAGTGTCCTCTATATTATACCCACAAAGTACTTAAATGACTGTACCAATTCACAGTTTTAAAACTATGTATTAGCCTGGCAGTGGTGGTGCACGTGTAGTCTACAAGAACTAGTTGCTGGACATGCACCAAAGCTACAGAGATACCCTGTCTCAAACAAAACCAATAAATTAAAGTAAAATAAAACAATGCATTTGAGCCATGTAGCTGACTGCCCAGTGCAGTTAAGGAAAAGGATTTGCATATGGAGCTTTTCTTCTGTCCTCAACACAAAAGGAAGAATAGATTATTGTGTGCACTGCAGGGGGCACAGCATAGGCAATCAGCTATTGGAGCCAACACTATGAAAAAGGGCCTGACCATGGTAGCAGGAGAGGTTTGTAATTGCCCAGCATGTGTAAATTAATGTCATGTGAATGAACACAGACCAGATTGTGTGGGTGTCCAGATTAGGAAGGTTATCTTGTGTCAAGGAACATTGAATTTGCAATTAAACAACTATCTTCTGCAGATATGATCAATCTTTGTTGATTTTATTTTATTTGT